CTCCACACAGACAGTCCATGAAAAGGATTGGCTGACAGTGTGACATGGTGCTGATGCACACCATAAGCCTTAAGTAAATGTGCAGTGGATGAAATAGAACAGAGTTCGTTCCCCATGGTAAGCAGCTTAGATGTTTTTTGAATTACTACAACAAACAGCTCTTTTATTACAAATGATGGAAGACTGTCACTATAACAACAATAAAGTGTTACTTTTTTAGAAATACTGAAACAAATTCCGCCCTTTTTTCAAACTTCTACCTAAGTATGTTTACGTTAGAATTGATTATGTCCGTACATGAAAGACACTGAAGGAAATCAACAAACTGGACGATTTGCCTAAAATATATTTCATTTTAACCGTTTAAATCTCCAGCTTAAGATTATAAGCAGTTTGAAGACACATACTAGGAAACAAGATGGGATATCAGAAAAGATTAGTTTCCTGGAAATTTGCATCTGTATTGAAAAATAGAGAAAAGAAAAGAAATTTCTGTGTATATGTTTTATATAATGATACTCCAGAGAACACATTAATTAAATAATATACTTTGTTATGGGCACAATTTTTGAAATTATTTTTTAAATTATTAAATGCATTATGTCTTACGAATATACACTTTTTAATATAAATACGAAATTTGGATACATAATTTTCATGTGTGATTTATGTTTTGGCAAAATCTTGTCATGTGTAAACCCTAGAAGGAAGAGTATTTTTTATGTTATTTTTATCAGTGTTGGAGAAAGAACAGAAAGGTGTCTATGCAGTGAGGTTTCTTTGAAGAAAGAGAGTGGTAAAGTTTTTATCTATTTTCAAAATGAACAACTTGCTTTAGATTCTGGTTTTATATGTATCTATTAAATTAAAATTAAATTAGTGAAAGCTATAAAAAAATAATAAAGGCACATTTTATTTCCGTTTTATAAACCATAATAAGCTTAGATTTTTGTATCTTTCCAAAATGTTTTCTCATATTATATCCATTTCAATCTGCCTAATGCTCATTCAAATGCCAATCCAAATAGCTACACATATACCAATGTGTAAACACTAATAAATTTAACATCATGTTACTACTTACCTGGAAAAATATATCTACTATTGCATATTTTAAACATACACTTGTGGAATAATAAATGTTGTCATGTGGTTAAGATGATGAGAACAAATTAAAGATCTGAGACAGAGAATTATTAATGTTCATTGTCTTAAGTTTTGTTTTACATTTAATATTTTATTTCATATTTTATCATAAGGCACATTTTCTGGTACAGTAGTATGTAAATAGGAATTGCTGAGCCCAAATGAGAATAATTATGTCACTTCTAACACATGGAAAAGATATCCATTCCAATGTTATGACATACAGAAATTTATTTTCTATAGCCTTTAAAGATAAATTTGTGTAATAACAAAAAAGGATTTATATTTTAAGTATTTAAACCCAAAAGGACTATTCTTTTATGAGATGTATGTTTATTTCCTATAGGTACCTGTAACTCTTAATAAAATATTTACCTCATTATATAGTTTATATTTATAGTTTATATATATAGTTTATATAGTTTAAAATTCTCATATATCAGTGGGCTCTTAGCCAACTATTCTTGACTGAATAACATTTTGATATGACTGAGATAAAACTTTAACATGAATAGTAGTTATAACTACAATGTTTTTTAAAAAAACTGGATTTGTAAATAGATTCTAAAATTAAAAGGAATTGATTGGGCCGGCCCCGTGGCTTAGCGGTTAAGTGCGTGCGCTCCGCTGCCGGCGGCCCGGGTTCGGATCCCGGGTGCGCACCGAGGCACCACTCCTCCAGCCATGCTGAGGCCGCGTCCCACATACAGCAACTAGAAGGATGTGCAGCTATGACAGACAACTATGTACTGGGGCTTTGGGGGAAAAATAAATAAATAAAATCTTTAAAAAAAAAGGAATTGATTTAAATTAACATTATAATACCGGCTACCATACATATTACCCTGAGTTTTAAAATAGAAGTGTTTTCACATATGTGCCAAGAAATTATTTGTAGAACAAGCAAGAACTCCCTTTTTGAAAACTATATTTTAAACTACCAATACAACATGTGCATACTATAACATGAAAATGATGTGTTTTCCATTTATATATAAACCAATATGCATTAGGTGGTTGCTACCACATGGCATATTTATGTTTCACACCTTATTGAGAAAATCATTTCCAAAAGAAAAAACCTAACCTAGCAAAAGCATTGTATCAAAATTCCTTTGTTTAAAAAAAAAAAAAAACAGTTATTTTAGTGTTAAATCTTAGAACAGTTGAATTTTATTTAAAAATATACTATATGAGAATGTATGCTAAACCAGAGAAAATTAAAGATATCTAGAATGATATATTATTTATGTCTCATTTTAATGAAACTTAAGCCCTTAATATTATTGTAAACACTCTAAAAAAAAAACTCTTTAAATTACTGATTCTAATTCTGGTCCCACTCCAATGAGTGCATAATTAATTTTATATTGTGTTGACAGCATGTTCCTCCTCTTCTGATGATAAAAACTTCTTATATTACTTTTTATGGGGAAAATAATATTGTCAAAAAAAACAAAAGAATATACTAATGATTTCCAGAGAAATTTATATATAGGATAATAATTTGCCTTTGGTGACACTGTAATCTCTGTACTCAGTTTTTATAAACTTGAAGTTTTTCCCAAAGATTTGAGACTTATCCTGATAAACACTCCATATGAATTATTTTCTTGCAAGAAGAACAAATGGCACCACATCTTGATGAAATTAACACTGCATTTTTTAAAAAAATTTCATAAAGTTTATTCAGAAATCTAACATGAAGTACAAATGTCAACTATCATTTCTCCTCTCATCAGAAGATGGTGTTACTAACTTTTCAAATAAATGAAGATACAGAAGCCTTATAAAAATATTGTTAATATTACCTATAGAAGACTGACTTAGCTCTAAAAATTCTTTCAAGTCCTTATTTTATGAAATAATTAATATTTCATATTATTTGAAAATACCTTAAATTTCCATTGTCAGAAAATAAATCTCAAATCCTCTCAGAGACAAGAAATTGTGGTTTTCTAATTCCTATTTTTGCCCACTGTTTATTTTCTTTCTTGCCTCTAGTGAATTTCCGACCATGAATATTGAGTTATTTTAATTTTAGGAAAGCATTTATTACAGATGTCCTTCTTACAATAAGGATTTTCACATTAATATTTTACCATGATATGTTCAGGAATAAAAGGTTGTATTTTGTTGTATTTTAAAAAGTCATAGTTTTCCCCGATGGTATCATGATGCATTCCCTCCAAATGATAGAAATATTGATAAATTGTCATTTAAAAATGATACTTTAAAAATGTATAAACTGAACATATTGACTCCTTTTTAAAGAGCCACTTCTTTATTTGACACAAAATGCAAGCAAGTCACTTGAATTCTCACTTTATAGGCCAAGCCAAAAAAAGACTAAAACATTAAATAAATGATAGTGTAATTTCTTAATAAGAGTGAATAATTTTGAAGCATCTTTAGGGTTATTTTTACTCTTTTTATGTTTCAAAATATCCGCTTGGAACATCCTGCCAATTAAACTAAGATCTACAGCTGGCATTTACCCTTTTGCTTCATAACAAAAAGGATCTGCAATCATTTTTATGGAAGATTATCTAAAAAGGAACATGACGGTAAATCGATGACAAAAAATATTAGACACTCCCCTTCTCCGGGTTAGCATGTGCATCCTTCCGATTCTTGCACTGACACCTAATGTATAAATACTTTAAGCTGAATCTTAAATAATTGCTACAGGGTTTCAACTGGTAAAGATTCACTGCTAGAATCCACCAAAAACTCCAGTATTCAGCACTCAGCCAACAAAGGACAGCAAATAATTCCCAACAGCATAAATACCGGGAAGGCTACCTTGGGCTTTGTTTTTGTTATGTAAAATGCATTAAAGTGACTCATCCACTCAAGATTACCTACTCTTAGAAGCTTTAAAGTAGCTTCAAGAACTAAAATAAATGCTTCCCCAGAATGCCTGATAGGCTCTTCAGCGCATTTAAAAATATGTATAGTATATTTTTATGTGCCACGGACTTTGGTTCTTTTTTCCAGCCTAAGAGAGAATTATTATTTTTCATTTCCTTCCTGCCGTGTGACTACATGGCTACCTTTAAACACTCTATTTCCAGAACAGCAGCGAGGTTTTTTTTGTTATTTTAGAAATGTTAAAAATAAGAGAAAATTGCAGGAGACTCTGGAAAAGCTCGGTCCCTCCCTCAAAGAATAGGTTCTATTCATTCTAAGAACAGCAACCGCGTGTCTGTCGGCACTTAGATGTTTCAAATCCAGGGTGAAGGAGGCTGGATGGCGTGGTCCCAGTACCTGCGAACCCTCGGGGTGGACAGCACTCCGTTGCGGGGAATGAGCACTCTTCTGAGCAGAAAGGCTGTCAAGTGCGCCCAGTAATTTAGGACCTAAACGAGTTTGGACACTATAGCAATTAGAGAGCATCCCAGAGGCCAAGTGCAGGAGAAGTCCGCGCTACCCTGGCAAGCCTGAGATTACCAATTTGTAAAATACCCAACCAAAACACAACTTTTCATTGGACCAAGTTTGATGAGAGCGGGTGTCTGGCTGGAAACTTTTCCCTCTCAGTACAGCTAAACTCTTTAAGCCTAAGGAATCCTCTTAGCGACGGGCTGAGGCGCCGCAAGTCGTCGGCGGATGTTTTCCGGGACAGCTCGGCCCCGGCGCCCAGCCCGCCGAGGCGCCTGAGACGCCGGTTCGGGGCGCATTCCGGCGGCGAGCAGCGCGCGCCTCCCGCTCGGCCTCTCCAGATCCAAGCCGGGCTCGCTCCCCACCCCCACGGGCAGAGAAACCCCGCGACTCGGGAACGCACGCCCGTGCCCAGCCTCCGCGGCACCCTTTGGCCCGCACTCCCCGCCTTGCCCGGCCCGGCGACTTACGTGACGGCCGAAGGGAACGGCTCCTCCGACGAGGGGCCGATCAGCCAAGATTGGAAAAGTGTCAGAGTCAAGGCCAGCAGGCAGCCAGCAGCCATCTTCGCGATCGAAGATCAATCCCGCCTCCCTCCCCAGCCGGGGGAAGGAACGGTGCTGGAAACCGCGGGAGGAGGAGAAGGAGCACGCTCTGCCCGGACCGCGGACGTCGGCAGGGCTGGCGCGCCGGGCGCGGGGCGCGGACCGGCGCGGGGGGCGGCAGGGGCGAAAGCCGGCGCGGGGGAAGGGGCGGCGGCGGGCGGACCCACTAGAGCGCGTCGGCTGCTCCGCGCCGCGGCTGCCTCGCCTCCGCCGCCATCAAGGGCGACTTTGGAAACAGACCTGGGCGAGCCCGCCGGCGCTCGCGCGCTCTCGCTCTCTCTCGCTCTTTCTCTCTCCCTCTCGGTTTCCTCCCTGATTTATTCCCCTGATTGCCGAGGAGAAGGAGGAGGCGGGGGCGGGGGCGGGGGAGGGGTGACGGCGCTTGGGCGGGGGGTGGGGTGGCTGCAGGAACCGGGGAATGGCAGGCGGAGAGACTTGTGGCAGGGAGAGGCTCCGTCTGGCTTCTCCGGGCAAGTCAGAGGGAGGTGGCTGGGGGTGGGCAGCGGGAGGGCTGGGCGTCAGAGCAGTCGGGCGGAGACGGGCCCGGAGCAGCCCTCCATACAAGGCAGAAAGGAACTCCCAAAGTCGGCGTCGGCTTGCTCCCGCCACCCGGCGTGCGGAGGGGGAGCGGACCCAGCCCCGCGGGGCTCCCGGGGGACAGCCAGCCGCCCAGCGGGCATCCACAGGCTGCAGAGGCTCCAGCCGAGTACTTGGCTTGCGTCTTCGGGGGTTATTTTTGCACAGGCAGGCAGCGTTCCCCCAGCCCTTCTCCCAGGCGCAGAATCCACTGCCTGCCTAGGAATCGTGGGGAAGTGATTTGACAACAAATGTAGGAGGGGTTTGTATTTGCATTTTAAAGCATCACTTTTGACTACATCGAGTGGCACTATTTATTTGCCGGGGAGAGCCTGAGGCTAGAGCTTCTGGCGTGGCTGAATGCCAATTGTGCCAGCGGCCGTACGCCCAGGTACGGCTCACCTGGCGAGGACAGAGCCTCAGGGCCCGGGCTGAGGACAGTCAGAGAAGGACCTGATGCTGTAAAATCTTACCAGTCCTGCCATTCAGTAGGACAGACGGGTGGAGGGACGAAGTCTCCATCTAGGGAGGACAGTGCTGCAAGAAGGGCTCTGTAGCATCCTAGTGAGACTACCTCCAACAGGTTCCAAATGCCCTTCTCTGGCCACTGGGCTGCCCTGCCTTGACAAGGTTGCTGCAGGGTGAGTTCACGCTATCAATGTGAAAGCGTGAAAAGGGCAAGCAGCAGGAACAGGTGGCAATGCGCCTGAAATGTGGAGGAGGAATTAAGGGAGGGGGAGAGCTACAGAGGAGCAATGCCGGACCAGTTCCACCTCCACCCTCAGGAGAAGCGGTGCCGGGGCGTGCTCAGGCCTTCTTGTGGACAGAACAGAAGGGTCTTGGGTTGGGCCTCTCCCGATTGCACGGGCCTCCTGCAGTAGGGAACTGGTGCGCTAGGGGTGGACAGGTTTCCTCGAACCTCTTAAATTCTTAAACTCCCAACAGTAGTCTATTAGAGCACTTTTGCCATGAAGCGCAGAGAACACCGTTCTTGATGAAAAAAATGACCATCCTACATATGCGTAAAAGTTGTAATTATGGGGTGACTGTAAGATGTTTAATTAGCTCTGCTTTCGTTTCAGGAGGAGCTTAGGAAAGGAGCAAGACCCTTATTAATTCGAAATTGATTGTCCAGCTCTGTGAAGGCAACCTCCTGAAACAGAAGACTGATAATAATAATACTTACTAGCAAAATTTTAAAAGTTTATGATTTCGTGATTCTTGGCCCAGTGATGTTTCCTTCTCCCTTACCTCTTCTTTTTGATGCCTTATTTGTTTTCTCTATATTCTCTACACCTCTATCTTGCTCTTTGTTTCTTTCTTCCTCCTCTAAGTGGCCTCACAAAAGGCACCCCATGGTGACTTAACTTTGTTTTATGCTAAGCATAGAGAGTGTGGCAGCAGGAGCTAGCAAATGAGAGATGAAGTGGGATGTAATGGGATTGAGAACTAGAGCTCAGGAAGAATATTTTATATAACTGAAAAGAGCTTTCCACTCCAAAATTAGATAACCAATTAGATAATCAAGTCCAACATTTTTTTTTAATTTTTTATGATTCAAAAACAGATTTTCTTCCCTAGCACGAGAATTAAGAATGGCAGAATTAGATGCCCATTAGTCTACATTATATGTTGGTATCATAATAGCCTCACTACATAAAAATGTTATTATAATATATTCTGTCAATTATTTCAATAATGACTTCAGACTTCCTACTAAGGTACCCTATTTCCAATTTTATTTCTTTAAGAGAAAAGGCTTAAAGAATAAAAGAATGTAATAAACTTCTGGAGAAGGTAAGTCAGCCTTCGTTATTAACTTAGTTGGCCTTTGAGCCAAATCTCAATTTCTTTGGATCACTCTGAGGAAGCACTGTGTTCTCTAATATCTGAAGCTGTTGAAGAAAGATATTGCTTCTACAATCCTTTCTGAGGGGCTTGGTTACCAACAGTAAGAGTAAATCATTGCTTAATGCTCTGTTACGAGGTTTGCTATTAATTGCTTTTTATCAACCTAAACATTTTTAATAAGAATATTCAAAGTGTGATTTTTATTTCTTATGTATGATAGCTAAATCAAGACCATTTTCACAACATAGCATTATATGTCTACTGAATTAACTATAGCCTTCTACAATGCATTGTTTCAGCTCAGTTCTGTTATTTTAATAAAACCATAAAAATCAGATAATATCCCATTAATTATAATAAAATTTTGCTAAATCACCAAAATTTGCCATTCAAGACAAAATGTTTATAAATCATAAGCATTGATGATAAAACTTGTATTATGAGCTGTGATCAAGTCAGAAATCACTATCTACTATTCATTTAAGAGGAAATATTCTAATAAGAAAGTAAAGATCAGTGAAGATTTGCAGATGTTTGTACTTAATCATTTCTAGAAGAAAGTTTAAAGAAGATTTAGTCCATGCAAAGCACTGACTTTTACTAATGACAAATTTATGATTTGTAACTTTTGGCTAACTCATTATTATTATATGTAAACGTTTAATTTGTTCATATACATTTCATTTTTATTCATTAAAAATGAACAAAGAACAGTATGAACCTAATAGCCATGAAATGTTCCCTCTTATTCCCTTTTTATTTTAGGTTATACAATGCATATTGGTAGCGTAAAATTCTATTTTTGTTATATTTTTCTGTGAGCATATATTTTTGTATGTATGTATGAGCATGTTTTTCTATGATTTTTTTTCAGTAAATCTAATCTAAATTCTTCAACATTTTGGCTTAAAGAATAGGACAAAGTAACTAAAATGGTTTCTTTTTTTTTTTTTTGCCCTCATGTACAAACAGACACACACTAGAAAGAAAAATAATTCCCCATGGCCAAAAAAATTTTTAAGGCAATGATTAATTTTCTAGGTGTTTTGGCATATCTTAAGAAAACAAAGGAGAAAACTATGACAACAGGCCTTATTTGTTTATACGCAATTAGGAGTATATGACCTGTCTCTGAGATAAACATATACTGTAAGAGCCATAGTCAGAAACACTTGTAATCTGAGGCAGTATCATGCTTCTGTGAACACACAGATGTGTACCAGGGAAAGCCGAAGTAAAAGACAAATGGACAGAAAGCTTCAACTATCTGTGTCCTTGGGGAATATTTTCAGGAGATGAGAATAAGAAAGCAACTCAGAAGTATTAATTCCTAGGATTAAGGAGTGTGTAGTGGTTTTTAAGTCAGCGTTCACATTCAGTATTTTTAAATTAAAGTGGCACATAGAGGCCATCATAGAAAGCAACACGGAAAAGACACTGTCTTAGATGAAGAAATATAGTCAAGTATTTCCTACAAACAAGACAAATATTTAGAAGACATTTCTCCTCGGCCCAAGTAATACACTATTGACAGATATCGCATTAAACTTTTGAGGAAAAAAATACGTTTTCTAAGTGGATACTAAGTAACATTAAACAAGTACTTATTGGAAGTTTATTATTTGCCCATAAGAGACCTATATTGGCAAACTTCTGCTAACTTAAGTATTTAGAAATATTAGCAGTTATATTTTAAAATATCATCATATCTTCAACCAAGCAATACCTTTTATGCTATTCTACTTTTGAATTTCTGCTAATCATAGAATTTTTCATTCAATTCCTTTTTCTTGTTTTATTTTTGCTCTTCCTCTCCTCCTTCCCCCATTAAACACAAGCACATATCAGGAAAAATCGGCACCTACAGCGTGCCTTCTCATTTAAAAAACCCTCTCATAGACTCTAAAATCCATATTTCATGTTAAGATCCTTCTTCACTCCGTAAATAGAGCTGGAGTTTTGTTCTGTTTGAACTGTAAGTTATAGCACAAAGTATATGGAATCCATTTACTTGGGCCTACCCAGACAAAGGGAAGTAGAGAATTCGGTTATTTATCCAAGTATTCACCAGCAGCAAAAATGCAATGGGAATTGATTGATAAGAGGCAGATAGTAACATTTAAAATGACCAAAATTAATACCTCTTGGCACTCTTTCCAGTTTAATTTTTTAAAAAATTTTATAGATGCAGCCTTCCATGAGAGAGAAAGAGAAAGATCATTTATAGATATTATTCTTCTGATAGTAGGTTTTTAATATACTTTAAACACAATAAAACACCATTATAACTGAGCATATTTCTATAAAAATTTGGATGTATTATGGATCAAATTTACCTCCTGTACAGATAATATACGATTAATCTATTAGATGAGTGTTTGTTGAAGCACCACAAAAGGATGTTGCTAGGAATTTCTCTGCAGTAATATGCATGGGAGAGAAAATAAGAGAACAATCATTTTATTTTTGTAGCCACATATTTTAGATTTACATAATTAAAATGCCTACTATTATTAATAAGACATGACTACCTGGACACATCAGTAAATTTAGCATTAAAATCCTATGTTTCATTTATAGGTGAGTAAAATAGAGGTCATATTATTGTCGTCTGTCACAGAGAGGAAATATAAACTTACAAGTTTGGTATTTGGAAACATTTGAAAATCAATATAGAGCAAATATTTTTATACAATAATAGTATTTTCTTCAAGATGTAAAAGGCGATGGGGTATAATTTCTAAAGGTTCTCTGATATTTTGGAAAAAAAATACTGTGATGCCTCATCAGCTGAAGGATATTGTTGTATGTTATCTAATGTTCTATTGTTTTTCATAATTGAATCACTAATATTTCAACATTTCATACCTTTAAAACTAAGAACCTGGATTTAAACAATTCTGTTCTAAAGATAGTTTGCATTGTCTACAATTGGGATTTATACA